TCAGCTGGCTGTCAACAACACCACCAGGTCCTTTTCCTTCAGACAGCTTTCCAACCACTCTTCCCTCAGCCTGTAGCCTTGCTTGGGCTTGCTGTGACTCAAATGCACAACCCAGCCCTTGGCATTGTTGAACCTCATCCCATTGGCTTAATTGAACTTCCTTCCATTGGCCTCGGTGCTTCTATCCACCCTGTTCAGGTCCAAAATATTTCATGCCTGCTTGGTAACAGCAGCGTCCTGGTTTGGGGCAGAACAGAACTAATTGTTTAGTAATTTTACTACTCAGTTAAAATTCTTCTCACTAACTGCATAACAGATTGCACTGTCTGAAGTTAGCAGCAGATTTTCATAGACAGCATCTGCTTCTAGCAGCCACAACACTCCATGTTTGAAGTTACCACCAAGGGTTGTTGTGCAGTCCGAGGTCACTGCTAAGCTCTGTGTACCACATGGAGGGGGCAGAGAGGAAAAAGCTGCAGCTGCAGGGAGGGCTGGACAAGACAAGTGACCCTAAACTGATCAATGGGGTATTCCATCCCATATCTGTCATACTCAGTATAAAACTAAAGGATCACAAGGGTCAAGCTCCTTCCTCACTTTTGCTGTTCCTGCAGTGGCCAACATCTGAGGAGGATTTCATCCATCCTGCCTTTGATCCCGAGCCGTGTGTTCCTGAACCCAGCTCCTGGAGCCAGTCCCTGTCTGTGGCTGAGCCCAGCCTGGGACTTTTCCCCAGGGGCTGCTCCCCAGCATTGGGGGTGTTGGTGATGTACTGCCATCAGGGGGGAGTGGGGTTTGATACTGGTTTTGTGTATATTTGCATACATTCCATTTATTATTTTCATTAAATCTGTTTTAGTTTTGTTGCCTAATGGGTAAGTCTCTCCCCTTTATTTTTTTTTTTTCCCTTTTGGAGGCAGAGGAGTTAATAGAGAGCATCTGTTACAGGTCTGAGGGCAGCCCTGACCCTAACCCCTGACACAGCAGTATAGCTGCACCTCCTGAGAAAGCCCAGTATCAAAGATCTGTATGCCAAGGCATTGTTTGCCAAAATAAATGGAAGTACAATATTCCCTTCAGTAAGTGTTCCCTTGTTTAATAACAAGATTTTTTTTCCTTAGTATATACTTTTCATTGCAGTTTAATCACAAACTAATATTCTGATTTATCAACAAATTTACATAACCTATCTAGTTACCTCAGTGATTTGACTTCAGCTGCCTGTGAGACCACAGCTTCACTGGCTCGCCAGCCCCCTAAAGCAAAGATGAGGGCTCTACAAAACAGAGAACGAGCATTACTACAGCATCAATTAGGAAAATGCTGGCTATGATGAACTTCCACCTACACTATTAAGCAGGATACCTTCTTGGGTACAGAAACATTTGTAAATCTCCACCTTTGTCTTCCATGAAAGTTATGTCATGGTTGAAATGGATATTGACTTGACTCACACATCAAAGGTAATTTAATTTTGCAGGTCAGTCCAAAATGGATCTTTAGCTAATTTGAGTCTGTTGAAATATATATGGATTTTTTGTTTAAAGCTCTAAAAAAAAAAAACCAAACAAACAAACAAAAAAAATCAATTGAGATGCTGAAAGCATTTATTCAGTTTTCCTACAACAAGGTCCAGCATTATCCTGTTAAATGACTGAACAAACTTGCCACTCAGCCCAACAGATGCAAGACACCCTGTTCCTTTTTTTATTAGTACTAACAAAGCTCATAATTGATTTCTTAGAATTATAGAATCATTTGGATTGGAAGGGACCTTTAAAAGTCATCTAGTCCAAACCCACTGCAGGGATCAGGGACATCTGCAACTAGAGGTTGCTCAGAGCCTCACCCAACCTGACACGGAATGTTTATAGAGATGAGGCACCTATCACCTCTCTGGGCAACCTGGGCCAGGATCTTACTCAACACTCTCACTGTAGAAAATTTCTTTATTCTATCCAGTGTGAATCCATTCTCCTCTAGTTTCCAATAATTAATATCCAAAACAAGTTTTCTAACACTTTAAAAAAAAAAATTATTTACCATTCTCCAGAGGGTTAAGAATATTCATATCCTGGCCCATTTACAGGTGACTTGAGAACTTTTTTTTAAGTAAAGAAGTAAAATTAACAATTGAGAACTAAAGAAAACAACTGCTGTCAGAGGAGCTCTGAACATAGCTATATACATCCCATAAATCATAATGTCAACAATTGCTTTATGGAAGAGTCCTCTGTTCACTTGCTTTTTAGGGAATCTCATTGTGATGTATTATTTTTGCACAAATTCCACAAGTATATTCAAAGGATTTTTTTTTTTAACCCAAAGGACCAAACCTGAACAGTTAGCAGGAGTTAAAACAGTTGAGCTGTCAGAAAAATTAAGAATATAAAATAATAATACTTGGGGGAGGGCTGAGAAGTCTATGACTGGTAAAGAAAACATTTTGGAAGAAGCTAAACGATTTGGTTATCTTTCTGATAATACCATGTGGGCTTAGTTTTGTTTTTTAAATGAACAAACACACTGAAAATAAACTTACAGGACTTGGGGAAAGTAAAATCTTTTCCTCTCAAAATATGAAAACGTGTAAGTGATTTGCATTCCTTATCAGAAATACTTGTCTTACTGGTTCAGTTCTTGCTCTTTTCACATTTTAAAGCCTCTGTGAACAGCAAGACTTGAAGCTACCGTGAGGGTAGAAGTCATAGCTCACCAAGCTGCAGCATTGTCAGAGCTCAGCATCCCCATAATTAACTGCTGCATTTGATCTAACAGTGATCTGTCATATAACAACCATGTTTATGTTCTTTTCATGCAAAGGCAGCACTATTATTTATACCTTGTAAGAGAATTTAGGAGTAACTACACCAATTTAATTCATAGCTCTTCAGACTTCGTTTCATATTTTACTTCTTTTCATGATCTCCAATTGGATACAAAAATTATGCTTCAAATCACCTTGATTTTTAAGTACTGTACATGTCAGTGATCTGTAACATATCTAGCAGCTGTAGAAAAGACATGCTGGTTTTTTAGTTCCTTTTCTCCATTTATTATTTCAAGAAAAACATAGGGGAAATCTATATACAATAAGAGAGTTTTAGAAGTGTCTAAAATAGTCAGATGTTGCTGTATTAAAACAATCTTTTACAAATATTTTACAGATCATGACATGATAATATTATTCATTACAGAAAGCAATACCTGAAAAGTACTTCTACAGCATTTACCAATATAAAATATAACACCAAGATACTAATAACAAACAAGGATATTGCATGTTAATTGCCAGTGGACGCTGGGAGACTCCATTTGATAACAGAAGTCAGAGCTCAGGAGGGAACACTCAGGGCGGAATGCACGCTGTCATGTCAAGGGACAGTGGACTCTGGACAAAGATGAGTCAGATTAAAACATGTACTTATTGCTGCAAACATGAAGGAACCAGCACTTCTGGAATCCAATGAAACCAGCAGTGTCATCTCTTGATTCAGTCAACGACAAACTTTCCAAAATGAGCCCCAGCACCACCTATACATATATACTTCAGTTTCTCCCAGGATTTAGTGTGCATCTATTTGTAGACTCTGCAAACTAAAAGATTTCCCCCTCCTTATTGTGTCATGGAATTAAAAACAGGTAGGCAGAACCAAAAACGTCTTCTTTATAAAGATGAAATTCATAGACAAGTGCTCCAAGCATACCATTAGGAAGTGCTGTTCTTTCAAAAGAAAGTCTCTCTACAAAAATGTAGCTCCTCCCAGAACACACCAGGTATTGAACCATTTTGGTTTTCTGTTTAAGCCCGTGTCTCCCATGTTCTATGTGAGTAACCTGCTCAGTCTTTTCAGGGCATTTAGGGACAGAAGTGAGGCTCCAATATTGATGTGGAAAAAGAATTAGCTGTCAGTTTCTCAGGAGAGCAATCAAGTGGAGGGGGAGCTGGCATCTATACCATGAAATACAGCACTTCTGGATAGCTCAGACTTCCTGGAGATGAAACTGAAGTGCTACACAGATTCTTTATATGGATTTGAAACCAAGAAACTCTGAACAGAAATGCTTAAATTCTTGGTGGCAAAAAGGAAAAACACATGGTTGGAGTAACAACTGATTTTTCTTTAAGGAAACTACATTATAAATATTAATGAATCTGATTCTCTGCTTTCGTAGCTTATTGAAAACACTTAAGAACAGCCTATTATAGAAAAAAAATCAACTGCTCAAATAAAAATTACACTGAACTGATTTCCACTGGAGACACAGGCTCCACAAAGTCTTTTGCAGGATTGAAATAGCCCTTCATAATAAACCAAGTTATAAAAAAAACCCAAGTTATAAAACGTTATAAAAAAATTGTAAACTAATATTTACCTAAAATGTGTGATAAAATCTACATGCATATCTGTCCAGTATGTCAGTTGTTACTGAAATACCAAATGGAGAACAATGATTCAGGCTGGTGCAAAGGGACAAGGTTAGAATTACAGGACATGAGTTCTTTTTCACAATAAACAGAAATTTCGTAGTGATGAAGATATACCAGTCTACTGGTTCTAAGTCTTCAGCAGAGTAGTTTTTCTATCACCAGTAGACTGGTTTTATAAAACCATTCATAACTTACAGGATTCTGGAATAGATGGAACAATCTTTCATGATATAGTCAGTGTTGATTGGTTCATCTATCAAAAGTTTCATTAGTTGGGGTCACTACTCTTAGTAGACTGCTAAAATATCACTTGGAGCAGAGTGTTAGAACTGTCTGTGCACCACTGCATGGATGTTAGAGTGCTTCTGTACTTATGGACACATGTCCTAAGTGATCTCAGAAGTATATTCTCCTGTCTTTAACTTCAATGATTCTAGAAATTGCTCAAAACTTATAAAACAGGAGCACCTATTTTCAGGTCAATTACAGATAGGTCACCACAACTGACTGAAAATTTCACGACATGATTACCTGGGTTATTGAAAGACAAGAAAAGCTTTTGAGTTACCTTTTTTACAGTCTTGTCAGGTTCAAGCGCGATATCTGGAATGTTGGCATCCACCATGAGGGAAAATAAGTTCAAGATCAAGTTGGAATACCTAAGTGAAAGAGCAAATTAAGTAAAACACTTTCAAAACTGTATTCTACTGGTCTTGTAAAGAACTTCATTTAAGAGCGCATCATCACCTTCATGTGAATTGATATTGCTTCAGAGAAGATGCACTCATAACACCTCAGTTAAACATATTTACGTTAAAATCCGACATCTGATCTTAACAGTGGAAAATTTAACCTTCAAACTGTTCAAAACTGAAAAGATGGCTTTGCTTCTGTTATTTTCTACAAATTATCAGGACACTTATTCAGAGACACATCAAATCTAAACTGTGATTTCATAGATTTTAAGATTTAACGGTATTTTCTACCTCTAGCGTGACGAATTTATAGCAGAATATTGATTCAAAGGTAAAAAAGGGTATTGGTTATGCAGCAGTATTATATAAATTAGCACCCAAACAGCTGAAGTCTTCCCAAATACAAGAAATGATTTTCCCAGTTTCTGCAAGGCCTTTTGCTATAATAAGTGGAATGTAGGGGATGTAACATTCAGGTCTGCAGTTGCTCAGCTCAGCGACAATAACATTGGTAGGAACACTACACTTAGGAAGTACAAATGTCTTTTTTTAGTGGTTATAAGTTACAAGACAGAATATAGTTTTCAGTTCTAATGGGGTGTTGGAAGTACGTGCATGTCTTTAAAAGAACACCATTTTGCCCTTGCAGGAAATTAAGTTGCTTTTTGAAAGGATAATTTTCAAGCTGTTCAACATTAACTGAAACTTCCCTTCCTCTGCAATGAGCTCTAGTCCCCTTTCAGAGACCAAGTACATAACTGACTTCAAAATCTGAAGTACTGATTTGCTAAGAGCACTAGGAGCTTCACAGATGATAGAAAATGAACAGCAGCAAAACCTATTTATTAGCAAGCTGCTGAATACATAAGAGCTGACAACCTCAAGAAGTACAAAGTATCAGCTACACAAAAGGACTGCTTCATAGATGTATTTTACAAAGTAAATACTGCTCAACGGTAACAAAAAAGATACCTCTCTAGAAAAGCATAATTCCATCAACAACTCTTGACAATTCATTATTGCCTGGAACAAGCACTACCTAACACATTTCAGTATAAGTTTTTACTCTCAGTAACACAAGCATTCAAAAGAAACAGAAGAAATCTTCAGCATCTAATTTGTTTCATCCGTTCTGCCTCACTTTTCCAGTAGCAAGGGGCTGCAATCAGGAAAATTACTTTCACCACAAATTAAAAGAAAGAAAGGAAAGTTACACTACCATTTTGTTTCAGAGCTGGATAAGAAACCTTGCTTTGGTGCCACAAACAGGCAGCAGAGGTTTTATCAATTTTTTTTTTTTTTTTCTACTTGCCTGAAACAAGCAAAGCTCCCTTTAAACATGCTTAGATCTTAAAGTTACATCCTCTCAAGCATCTACCTAGATCACTGGTAGGTTTCACTGGCAGTTCTCCCTTTGAGCTGACCCAAGAGCCCACATTTTCAAAGCCCCTTTTCTTGAACCACACAGATAGAGGCTAAGAGCCTGTGAACACTAGAGGCTGCTGGAGTTAAGGGACAGAGGTTTGCAAAAGAGGTTTCAGAGGTCCAGGCCAGTAAAGAGCTGGTTCTCTTCAGACAGTGAAGAGGTCTTTTGCTTCTTGGTGATTAAAGTAAGAGTACTGGAAGCATAAGATCAGCTGAAGAACTTCACTAAAAAGGAAAACTCCTACAAAAGGTAATTTTGAGGGGAGTATGGGAGGTAATTTTGAGGGAGAAGATAAAAGTTAGGAAAGGGTTGCTCATGATATGATCTGCAGGTCTCTCCTCTGCTCCTCATCCCAAAATTTCCTTAACTCAGTAATGGTCTAAGGATGAAAAGAACTTATTAAGCAAATTTGTTAACTGTCTCTCTGCTCCTTGCCACTTTTTACAGATTTTTAGAAAATCTATTTTTAAAAAATGGGATTTGAGAAGAGAGGTTAAGAGCTTCCCTCTGAAATGCCTGATCTCCATCCACAGAACAAACCAGGAGCAGAGTTTTCCTAGGTGTAAGGAGGTTCAGTTAAGCACCTACACCCAAACACCTAAAGCTGTCTCTTGTAAATGCTCTGTTTTTCTTGAAGCTCAGTACAAATTAATTTACGAAATAAAGGAGCACTCAGCTACACTGCAGGTTGACTAAACTTATAGTTTGAACCTGAACTGCTAAAAAGGAGGTTGTAAAATTTAAGAAATTCAGCAAAATAATTACTCCTATATAGGCAAGGCCTCATATATACCATGTTCAAATTCTCATTGCCATCTTTTCTGAGAACAGCAACTTTTAAATGTTTAGTATCTCACGAGACGTATGTTCAATTGTAAGTACTGCTTTATTTTTTCAACATTTAACAGCACTTCTACATACAGATGTCCTAAGCCAACCATATATTTAGGCTGTTTACATTCCAATAGTTTATCAAATTCGAATCCACAAACTTCCACTACAAAGACCAGAAAGCAGACAGTTATGAGCAGTCCCAAACTAAAGCAATGTTTATCTGGTTTAACTCAAAAATTCCTAAGTTTTAAGATGCAACCACCTTTTCTGCAGTGTATCTTGGGACCTCCTCCCAGACTCACTTTTTCTCAAGACTACCTAAGTTCCCCAATCACTATCAAGTCCTAGTTAGCTATAAGTAGTTATGGCATTTCTTATCCCAAAAGCATCTCCTTGCAGTCCAGACTGGGGCAAAACTGACTTGACCCCATGGAGTTTCACCTCTGCTCTTCCCTCATCCCCAAGCACCCCCTTACAGAAACTACCCAGACTTTGCAGTACCTACATACTGCATCACCTGGCTACAATCTTTCCAGAGAGTCAGCACTTCTCACGGGCTATCACAGCTTTCCACTGGTTGCCTACAGTGTTTTTCATTCCGATCTATGTGGCCTCCTCTGTCCAGTATACCACTGAGAACAGACTGGGAAATTGCTCTGTTCCAGCCAGCTGGATACCTCCATCCACACAAAGCAAACCTCAGCCTCCAAACCAGATTCTGCCCATAGTTACCTCCTACTCCTTTGTATACGCCCACCAAATCAAACTGAACAACAAACTTCTGACATGACTAACACAGGGAAAACTCTTTTGGGAAGGAACAATTCCAACTAGAACCTCACCCTGGAAAAATAAACCCACAAATGTTGTGGCTGGATTCTTCTCTGCTGGATCCTGCCAAGGGTGTGTGTGTGAACTGGGAATGCTCAGAAGAGGGGAAATGCTGACAGGAAACAGGACCCAAACACCCCTGAACAGGAGGAATTGTACAATGAAGGTGTCACAGGCTGCTACAGCCCAAACCAAGTTCTGCTGCCAGGCACAGTTTGCCCGGCAACACATTCAGGCTGCTCCTTCATCACAGCACTGCTGACACACACATGACTGATTGATTATATGCTGTTCCAGAAAGTGGAAACCATCACCTGAAAAAAACCAAAACAACCCAAACCCAAAAAACCACCACACACTAATGATCATATGCCAGCCAGAGGTCAGGACTCCACACCACTCACCCAGAAGAAGTATCTATGAGTGGGTTTGTGGCAATGTGCAGTACTGTTAGAACTCCGCCATTCCACTTCTCATTATACTTTTTTTAATAAGCAAGTAACTTAATAATTTTTAGTTCTAGCTGTTTATAGTAACAGTTATAGTAATACCAATATTATCCTATGCTATCTTTGTTGAAAATCTTAAGGATATTTATCCAGAACCATTTAAAAACACTTAAACTGAACAAATATTGGACAGGCTATAATTACAAATATGTTCTCAGAGATTAAAAAATTAAACTGCCTTGATTTACAGTTCAGGTTTATATCGAAATTACTGCTATACTCCACATTTAATTATGATCTTTGTAGCAAATTATTACATAAATCAATGCAATGGATAATCCTTAACTGACACCACAGACCTTTCAATTGAAAGAGTTAGGTTTAAACAACAACTCAAGTACCTCACAAATAAGAAAAACAGTATTACAAAACAGTTTTAAGCAAAATTTAGAACATGGAATATACAACAGACTTACTGTTTGTTCTCAGAAGTCATTAATATTATTTGCTAATAACATGCTGCTATTGTCATGCTACTGAAGTGTTTTTAATCCATTAGAAATGTCAGTTCATAAACCAACTCTTTACTCTCTCCTTTTAACAAGTGGGGAACCACATGTAGCATTTTAATCTCCTATCACTGACTGCCTTCTTTTCATACTACATGTACTTTTCACAGATGCTTTACATATTACTATTTCTTCTGCATATTTGGAGGTTTACCTTATGTGATCCTGAAACTACAGTGAAATTCTTTCATGTCCATTAAAGAGACACTAAAAAATCAAATCACTGGACAGGCCAAGAGTGCTTACTTGTGTTTTGTTCAAATAGAAGAAAGCTGGGGTACTTGGCCTAGAAACCTCATGGTTTTCACTGCAAAAGAATGAAGCTGATTCCAAGTGTAAAGGAGAGACCTGTTTGTCTGTAAATAAATACAGCCTAAAGAGCTTTTAGCTGTCACAGTTATGGACATCTACAGAAACTGCTAATATACTTCAATGTCCCTAAAAGTAGCCAATTTTTGTCTCGCACGACCTGAACCCAACTAACCTTACACAGGCACCATGGGCAAGCCAAAGCATCCCATCACCACTGAACTGAAGGAATATAAAGCAGCAAGTAAGTAAAGACTCAGAGTTAAAAGGACAACCACTTGTTCACCAATCATTAGAGAAAAAGTTGTTTAAGGCCAGAAACATATCCAAAACCCAGGATATAATTTAGGACTCCACAGGAGTTATAAGAAAAGCTATTTAGATTATTAAAGAAGCAAAACTGGGGACCTTAACTTGAAGGACAATGACATTCAAACTCCACGTTACACCAATGCTGTGATGCTTTCACTCCTTTGTTTCCTGCAAATTCTTGTGTCTCTGTTCAGATTTCAGACAAGTGTTTAACAGATGTATTTTCTGTGACTTATTTGCTGCTTTCCCCTCCTGCTGTGCAGCAGCTGTGGTGAGTTGTGGCGGGAGGTGTTGCAGGTACCTGCGGAGGTGGAGGAAGGCCGTGTAGCACTGCTTACGGAACTCCTGGTACTGCTCGCTCTGCGTGCCTCCCATGCCCTCCACCATCTCCTTATTCAGCTTCATCGGGGGAGGCAGCGGCTTCGGGTCACGACCCAAAATGTAACCAAAGTCAATGTGAAACAGTTTACCTGTAGAAAGAGGAGAGGCAAATGTCACGTGGTATCAAATCTTGATGGAAAACTTGAGGGGGGGGGGGAACAACTTGAAGTGCAACCTCCAGAAGATTCTAACCAGCTATCAAAACCATACAGTTCACTTTTCCCTGTAAGGCTTACAACCATATCTTTTATATTTTCAGCTGCCCATTTGGAATTATGGGTTAAAAAATAGTAAAGCCGTTTTCAAATTCATCACAAGTATTAAAAAACAAGATGAGTTCTTCTGCCCTCTTCTTTTAAACATATGGATTATATTCATGACTGATGTTGAAATCTGACAGCAAATATTAAATGCACAATTATATAATACTAATTCTTTGTCTTCTGTAGAATTTGTTAGCAAGTCAAAAACATTAATAAACACATTGCATTGCTTTTAGTATCCCATTTGGCTGCTATGGCATGAGGTATGTCATTTTAGTTGTATGTTAAATTTACCAAAGAGGAAATAAGACTTGTGGATTCTAAGAATGACATTTGAAATTACTAAATATCAAAGATTTCAAAGCTGTTTCAGAATTCCTTACTAATTAAATAAGGTTAAGATTTATCAATAGTTTTCAAATACAGTGAAAAAACATCACTACAATCCCAAAACTGTAACTGTATTTCAAATGTGCCAAGGTCTGTCTCAAGTTTTTTCCAGTACTAAAATGCAAGAGCTGCATCATTTGATCACTGCCTTTCCCTTTTCAGATTAACTGACTACATATAAAAGAAATCTGTGAAATTATTTCCTTACAGCTGAGAGAACCCACTTTCCTGAGCTCTGCAGTAATGAGTAATCCGGAAATAAAATAAGTAGTAGAAAAAGGTGATGTGTGTTTGAGCTGTAGGTTTTGCATCCAAAGCAAAGGTGCTCTGACATTACTAGATTTGTCATACATTGCTAATGTATAGAAAAGATTGAAAAGTAGATACACGATGGAAGATCTTTTAAACAAGGTAGAAAAGTCTTAGCATAACCATTATCTAGACAGTCACAGCACAGAATGTACCAGTCTTGTTTCAGAATTATGGCACTGAACAGCACTATAGGCAGAGATCTGTTAGCTGAGGGGTATTTTAAACTGCAGCATCTGTATTTATTTTAATACTTTCATAAGCTTAGGTGCTCAGCAATCTTGCAAAAAATGCAACAGTCAGTACTTTTCAAATTCACCACCCTTCTCTGACCATTGAACTGAAGAGTAACGTTCTATCATTAGAAAAGGCTGCTTGAGATCTGTCATAAGTACTCATCTTCAACCCAAGAAACAAATTCCATCAGTCAGTTTTCTAAGGGGGATCACAAGGATGCAGGCAAAGTACTTGCAAGTTGATAAATGCCACAACCATTACATTTTGCATACCTAGTTGTGCTACAAAAAAACTCCCTTCCTTCAACAGTTTTTTCAAGCTGTTACAGGAGTTACTTCTGGAGCTCATTTCTGTACACTAACTTTTTGAAGTGGGCACTTTGATACATACATCCCCTTTGCACCATTAAGTTGCAAAAAATGTTTAATTAAGAAGTCGGGGGATCTGTTTTCTGTTCATTTATTCAAACCTGTCACCTTGAAGAGTCAAGAGACATTCTGAATAAAACAGTAACTCTTGTGGCAGTAATTAAATCTTTTTTATTTTGCTCTGGAGATATGGAATAAGAGGCGATAATTAATAATTTAAGTTGGTAACAAAGACGCATCTAAAACATTTAGAAACATTTTAAGAGCTGACTGCTATACATTCATATAAATTAATTATCAAATACTTACGCATTTTTAGGGATTAAGTATAAAAGAAAGTACATGATGAGGCCATTCTGCATTAACATTATTGCTTCTGTACCCATGCTTCACAATTCAGATTTTTAGGCTGACTTAAAATGTATGTCAAAAGCTTTCATTTAAACACATTAACTATAGTTAGTATTTTATATTTTATTTAGTATTTACTATATTTAGTATTTTTTAAATGCATGTAAACAGACTTATCTTCATTCGTGCAGCTCCTCCAGGATCAATTAAACCTGCACATCATATTGCAGGATATGGACAGAAGGCTCCTCTTAGTGCTTGCCTGAAGCTGCTACACCAGTAAACACCAAATGGGAGTGCTGCAGTTCTAGAGCTTTCTAGAGAGGAGCCTGACTTATGTTCTCCTTGAGAACTTGACTACAATTGGAACAAGTGAAGAAAAAGCCTCCCTTGAACAAATGAAATTGGTTGTGCATTTAATACTGCAAATTACATGAAGTTTATATCATTATTTATGTTAATAATAAGTTCATCAAGTTAATGAAGTTGGTTTTCTTTACCACTAAGATAAAAGGTGGCAAGCATCTCAAGTGATCATCCTAAGTAAAACTCATATGGGGGTATCACATCCCAATTCCACGACATCAATGAACATGATGATTAGATTATCACTCAGTGTACGTTCTACTCTCAGAACAAGGCTGGAGAAAGCTCTGGTACCTTTCTGATAAGGTGTAGTGATAGAAAATGCCCAACAGTAGCAGAGAGTGCACAATAAAATTAGGAACCTAAACACTCCACTTCTACGTAAGTCAACCGTTGGAGATTAACTGCAAAACAAAAAAATCACTTCTATCTATAAATTATTATACTTGGATGTAATTTTAAGAAAATGTATGCAGTAAGAATTTTTATTCTCTAAGAACTGGCTTTGACTAGCACATTATCTGTTAACACAGAGATCACTCCTGATATGCAACTGTGAGCACACAGACAAAAACTACCAGTAGTAATTTCTGATTTTCTTTTTTTTTTTGGTCAACTTAAACATGTTTTTTTTCCTCAAGAGCACAGATCCCCAGAACACTTCTCATTTGAAATTTTTCAGCCCCAGGTTCCTGAAAGTTATGCAATTTGCTTGATAAGAAGCATATCTTCTCAACTGAATTCAGAAGATGACTCTTCCAAACCTTAATTTCACAGAACAGTTGAGGCTGGAAGGGAAGTCTGGCAGACATCTGGTCCAGCCTCTGGTCAAGCAGGGCCACTTCCAACTGGCTGCCCTGCCCAGCCAGGATCATGTCCAGAAACAGTTTCTGAATATGTCCAATATTGGAGTCTCCATGACCTCTCTGGGCAACCTGTGCCAGTCAGTGCTGGCAACGCCACTATGAGTAATAAAACATACTGATATTGTGGAATTAATATACAGTTATCATCTATCCTACCAGCAGATTAGACTGCATGTGAATTTTGTGTAACAACACTTTTTCTAAAAGCTTTGAACTTACATGTTTCCTAAAACAATTACATTGCCTTCAATAGTAGTGTTTGGTGCCACAACACATATACATTGATCTCTTAGACCATCATGTTTATACCTTAGCTTCTAATCCACGTCCTTCAGATTTACTGAATCTTAATTTAAAGGGCTCTTAGACATGCTTAGAAATGAAAGACAAAACTGTACTTCAGGTTTTGGTTTATTACTGTTTCTGAATGACTGCTACATCGTATGAGTGAGTGACTTTTGGGTTTCTTTTTTGTTGTTGTTTGCTTTTGTTTTTGTTTTTTATTCATGTTTTAAACTAAAAGAGAAGTTACTCAGGGCAGGTGAAACAGTTTTCACCCTCTAAGCCTCTCACATTCTTTTAGGACTAGATATAACAAAGGCCTTGGATTTTTAATATTTACACACTGAAACCTTTAGACACCTATTTAGAAATGTTGAGTTCCTTATAGAAATGGGGGATTTTAGGCATCTCAGACATCAAAATGTAACAATTCAAGAAACTCCTTGAGACCACAGACAAGTATGCATGAACTTTCTGCCTTGTTTCAAGGCTAGGAGCAGGACTATGTGTAGGCACCTACACCTAGTTCAAGATGCACAGCCCTGGATAAAACCAGTGCCCTAATATCATTCTGAGCTTCCCATTCACACCATTTTACTGCAGGAAAAGGAAGTTGCAAGCCCTTCACTGACTGGAAGAGGATGAGATGTTTCCAGCAATATGCAGTAACCCAGCATGCACACAAAAATTATTTCATTCAAAACCTAAAAGCTGATCCTGTTCTGTACACTTAAGCCCTATTTAAAAAAAAAAAAAATATTATGAGGCTGACTACATTTTTCTGCTGAACACCTGGTTCTCTAACATAGGGAATGAAGAGGACAAGCCCTTGGAGAGTTCAAGGAAATGGCATCAAACACAGGAAGTTTCCTGGAGTAGCAGTCAGGGCATAAGGGATTTGGAAGTCCATCTCAGCTCCCTTCAGCCTTGAGAGTGATCTTTGATTAAGTGGAGTATGGACTTGGGTGATATCTGGTGCTTGCAATAGCCAATAACATCTGACTGCGGCCAGAGGCTGATTTGTCCATCACTTTTACTGCTAATGCCTAAATTTTAGTACAGGAGAAGGTACCCCATGTAGCAGCACAGGAATTGCTTTATTTCACCAGAGGACTGTTGAGTAGAACTACCGGAAATCCGCACAGAATGCTGAAATTCTTGGAAAAAAAAAAATGTGGAAGCCAGAACAGATTAGATGCAATTCCTAGAATAAAATAAATTTGATGGCAATTGTCTTCTAACAGGTAAGAAAGCCTTACGAATTATTTTGAACTTATCCATACCCACACCCTTTGGAAAAAAAAAAAAAAACAAAAACAACCAACCCACAGAACACCCCAAGCTCTGAATTTCAATATATTTTCCATAAATTGCAACTGCCACTATTATTTTAACCTGGCTTATATAGAGAAAGCACAATTTAGTTACTATTATAACTGAATTCCTATCTTAAACTAGAAGCATGAAAGGACTGAAATTTGGTAAAAATTCCTCTACTGAAAATGAGTTGGATGGATGGGTGGTTTTCTGGATTTCCCAGCAAATTCTGATGTTACCATCAAAATGTCTCCTTTGTTAACAGAGCACTGCCACACTGAAAAAAAAAACTAGAAAGCCTGATTTATTGTCATCCTTTTCATCAGCTACATGTTATAAC